TGTACGCACACGGCAGACGCGCAAATTCCATGGTCATCTCGATGCCTGATAGACGCTGTTTGCACCTGTTGTCTCCCAGTCGCGTTTGTGGCTGAGTCGAGTCGCGTCGGATGCCGCGTCGCGTCTCTCGACTTCACTTCATCTTATTTCAGTTAAACATCGCCATGGCCGAGTCCATTGAGGAGACTTCATTCTTTGCTGGTTATGAAGATGAAACAGAGCTAGAAAATACCGAGGAGCTCATTCGAGAAGCTCAACAGTCGGAAGCGGAGGAACCTTCAGACTCTCCAGCTCCGTCGCGACAGTCATCCGAACCCCTTTTTCTCCCGGAAAGTGACGAAGAAGACGAGAGTGGAGATGTCTCTATGATAGTTGATAAGGTCTCTGAGCGTTCTAAAACGGTCGCAGATAGCGAGGATGTCATTGAAATCTTGGAGTCCAAGCCAAGGAGTCAACCTGGGACAGACAAGCGAGCACGTAGTTTGTCTAAGGTTACCTCCGTGTCACGAAAGGCCTCTCCTTCAGATCCCGTGGTTATGGAGCCTATGGTACAACGTCCTGCCAAGAAACCCCGATTGTCACTTGAATATACAGAGGAGCTTTCCGACTCACCATTCGAATCCGCTTTCCTGGGAGCCTTTATAGTTGGCAATGCCTGGTGCACCGTCAAGGGAAAGGGATACATCAAAGTGCGTACGGTACGAATATTTAAGTGTGATTTTTGACAGCATTCCAGCCAGGTGACGAGATATGCATTGAACGAGATGAGCCGTTCACGCCCACGCCTGCCAGGGCCGAAGCTAAGAAAGTAAACGGCAAGAAGGGTACAAAGACAAAGGGTGGAAAGAAACAAATATCTATTGCTACTATGTTTAAGCCTCCGCCTACAAAATTCGTCAAGAAGAAACAAGAAGCGATTGTGCGTATCACTAATAGGGGCGGATTTGGTACGCACCGGTGTTACATAGATAATCAGTGCACTAATCAGAAACGAAGAATTTGGACGATTACCTCTGGACGTAGCAACATGGGTTTCGCGGTTACTTGATCTTGGTTTGTTATGGAATTGTTATTCCTTTGCGTTATGCTCACATCGTGAGGTCAGATATTGTGGACTTCCGAGGGAGTACTATGATTGATTGTCCTCCTACGCTTCATTCGGGGGCAGAAGTGATCGTATCCCTCTCGGTGCATCTCAAAGCGGCTGCCTTTATGCGTCATACCATCTCTTCAAGTCAACAGCCACGACACATGTTCAACGAAGGCCAGGAAACGGAAGCGGAGCAGAACCTCCGTCAGCGGAAGGCTGCATTGACACATCTCTTCGAAGTACTCGACCTCCACCCGATCGCCCGTGGAAGTATATCACGATCCGTACGAGGTTTGAACAAAGAAGATCTTGCACTATTGACGAAGGACGATAGGAAATTTCAAAAGAGCGCAAAAGGAACTAAGACTGAGATTGTTGGTGACGGTGAAGAGATCGAAGTTGAAGCAGATGTCGAGGAACTTTCTGAAAATCAGCTTAACCTGATCTATCGGAAGTAAGTATTGTGCCCTACTTCAAATTATTGACCCTCAATGATTTTCTAGAGCCCAGCAGAACGACACCACTATGGTTGAAAGGGACCCGGCCGAGACCTTCTCACTTACACTGCGTGGGTACCAGAAACAGGCACTTAAGTAAGGTTATTGTTGCTTTGGTTGTTATAATGTTGTGCTTAAGATCTTGTAGCTGGATGTATGACATGGAGGCGAGTACAGACTCGGTGCGGAAAGAGCAGGCTATGCATCCGCTATGGAAGGAGTACGAATCACACCTACTATATCTACATGCACATGACTTATTGCACTCGTCATGCAGATATGCTTTCCCTGCAGATCCGAACATAGGCGTAATTGACCTTACCGATGAACGGCCTTTTTATTTTAATGAGTACTCGGGCGAGCTGAGTTTGGAGTTCCCTGTAGCAGAGCGCAAGTTCAAAGGCGGCATTCTTGCGTAAGTCAGTTAGGCTCTTAATCCACACACCTCGTTGACGTACTACGTATTTTCAGGGACGGTAAGCCACAGCAGATTTTTCTGGTTGGGACAGTAACTGATAATTCTATTCATTTGTGATAGAGAGTGCGTGTTGTTTGTATCTTTGTGTTCAATTGACTAACGTAGACTAGTGGGGATGGGTAAAACTATCATGCTGAGCGCCCTCATACAAACTGCTCGCACACCTGAAGAGCCTCCCGCAGACCAAGGCACTTCAAAGCGTCGGCAACTACGGCTTGATAATAAATTTCGTATTGCAAACCTCCACACTCCCGTAAAAGGGCCGTCTGCAACATTGATCGTTGCACCGACTTCATTGCTGTCGCAATGGGCGGAGGAGCTTCAGAGGTCAAGTCAGCCTGGGACGCTGAAAACGTTAGTATGGCACGGGCAAAACCGCCTGGATCTCGAGTCTGCTGTTCAGCAAGAGAACGGGGTCGATGTTGTTATCACGTCCTATGGTACATTAGTGTCCGAGCATGCTAGGTCTGAGCGCATGCCAAGTCCGGTCTTCGAGAGTGAGTGTTTCTTTATGGCGATTTTGAACTGGTGCTTATACTTCTGTATATCAGTTGAGTGGCTGAGTGAGTTCGTAACACTTCGTACAGGAGGGGGAGATTGATTTTTGTAGGGATCATCCTGGACGAGGCACATAGTGCTAAAAACCGGCAGAGTAAGACTGCTAAGGCTGTCTATGCGCTACAGGCACGACGAAGATGGGCTGTGACTGGTATTTTCTTTCTCGCTACTTCATATCGACGAGCGTGCGATCTCATCAAGTTTTACTGCCAGGCACACCTATAGTTAATCGACTGGAAGATCTCTTTTCATTACTGTAGGCAGCGTCTCTTTTATCTTGCTCACGCCTTTTGATATTGTTATAGGAGATTCCTGAGGTTTACACCTTGGTCTGACTACACTTTCTTCCGATCGTAAGCCAAGCTGCATATTTGAGATCATATACACTTCCACTCATTACGTTCTAGCTTCGTAACTCTACCATTTCTGGGGAGAGATCCTAAAGCTATTGAAGTCGTGCAAGTAATCCTTGAAACCGTTTTGCTTAGACGAGAGAAGAATATGCTCGACAGTGATGGAAAGCCTATTGTCGCGCTCCCTGCGAAAGAGGCACGTCCATCATTTCTGGCTGACCATGGTACTGACCTGCCTGGTTCATCTAGGTCACTATCGAAAACTTGGAGTTTTCGCCATTGGAGCGCAAAATCTACGACTCGCTGTACAGCAGTGCAAAAGAGACTTTTGAAAGCTGGAGAGTCAAGGGTCTCGCAAGCAAAAACTACACTTCCATCCTTGCTATGCTCATGAGGTAAGCCGTTGCATTTACCTTCTTGTATAAAGTATCATTTAATTGAGAGTATAGGCTACGACGAGCAGTATTGCACCCTAGTCTTGTGGTATCGGGAGCGGACGGGGGACATACCAAGCTCTCTACAAAGAACGGTGCAGTCGACATCGATGCCATGATACAGCAATTTGCGCAAGGAGATAAGTCTCCCAATCTGAGCAGTGCTTTCGTGGAAGACGTTCTTGCCAATCTAAATGCTGAAGAGAACGCAGAATGTCCCATTTGTTTGGATGTTATGCAATATCCCATGGTCATACCGGGTTGCTTACATCAGTGGTACGTGCTTTCAGTTTGGAATAGCTCTCGGGCCAGTGCTAAAACCATGCTGCTGCGGCCACAGTTGCAAGGACTGCATAACTGCCTTCCTATCTAACCTCGCAGATAAAGGGGAGCAGGGAAGATGTCCATCATGCTCTTATAGCCCTGTGCAGGAAGCCGATCTATTGGAAGTAATGCGCAAAAAGCAGACGACCTCTGATGAACAGGCATCTACTTTGACATTCACGCTTCGACGCAACGACTTTCGTTCATCTACGAAGCTCGACGCGTTAGTTCAGAATCTCAGTGTGTACTAAGATTCTCATCATGTTCTAATTACGTCTTACCTTGACTTCAGGACGTCTTCGTGACCAGGACCCGTGTTTCAGGGCTGTTGTATTCTCTCAATTTACCTCATTCCTCGACTTGATTCAGATGATTCTTGAACGGGAGGGTCTTGCCTGGTATAGGTTCGATGGGACCATGGATGTCAAGAAGCGCAACGATGCGGTCTCTAGTTTCAAGGTGACCTCGCGCGAGCCAAAAATCATGATTATCAGTCTGAAGGCAGGTGGAGTGGGGCTGAACGTGAGTTCCTGATGCGACGTGATATAGTCTTGCATTTCTGACGAGAGACACAAGCTTACAAATGCCAATCATGTTTTTATGGTTCGTACCTTTCTTACTAGATGCTGTTTATGACGACTGACGCGGATCATGTAGATGGATTGCTGGTGGAATTCCGCTATCGAGAATCAAGGTGCACAGAACCATTCAATTATTTTTGTTTGCGTTTCCTTACCTGTGGATCAGCAATCGACCGCGTACATAGAATAGGACAGGAGAAGACTGTTTACGTGAAACATTTTATTGTATGTCACGGAGTGGTGCAGACATCTCATTTCTACGTTGCTCATGTTCGAACGACAAACTCTAGATATCCGAGACTATAGAGGGCCGTGTCCTCGAGATACAGAAACGCAAGACCGCCATAGTGAAGGAAGCATTCGGGGGTAAGGGAGATTCTGACAGCATGGAGAATCTTAAGATCATGTTTGGGGATGCTCGTTGAGCATTTATATTGCGATCTAACTACAGTATATATTTTTGCTGATTTATAATTTAACCCGTCATGAACAATTTCTTGTCCATGGGCTGAGGACATCAAGCTTTCTGAGTTGCCTTCATGTAAATGATAAAACAAGTCAGCACAAATCCGTTCTGTGTGAATTTGACACAGAATAATGAAAGGGGGACTCTATGAATTTTTTTTAAAAAAAAAATACTAACGAGAGGGAGATTCGAAGCTACAAAATAAAACTAAAAAAACGTTGACGAGAGTGGGATTCGAACCCACGCCCCGAAAGACCAGATTATGTAAACAAGCTACCTTGGTCTGGCGCCTTAGACCGCTCGGCCATCTCGCCATGTAGGTATATAATTTTTATATAACTATGTACGCACCAAGGGAGACAGAGCATGCGATTGGCCCGGGCATCTCGGGAATTCTGGCGACTCAGGATATTTACTACTACTAGCTACTATGTACTGTAGTTAGTATGTAGTCCTTTCCATTTCCGAATTCAGGGCTTCAGAATTTTTGCTATGCACAAATGTGTTACCCTAGCTATCATCTACCAACCCGCTTCGGAACTTTTGTGTCATGACAGTGGTCCGCGCAGACTCAGAGTCCCTGCCAACTTGAATAAACCCGGGCATCCCTGGATCATCGAGCCCTATGGCCATCATGTCGTAGAAATAGCGTCAATGATTAAACTATAAAAACTTAATATTCGACTATTCATGCACCCTACAGCACGCCTATTCTCTTGCAATTTCCCGACAGCTCTCCGACCGCTTCAAGGATACACGACGCACGCACTACTAGCTCCTAGCACATATGATAGGCGCACCGACGTCCTGTCTCATTTTACTTTTTTTGTGGAGAATCCATACGAACTTGGGTGAATTCAGCACCACCGCTTCGTGAGGTACCAAGTCAACGTATAATTATACTGTGTTCACATAGCAGCAGCGGTTATGACGATGAACATCATGACCAAAGGACGAATGATATATGGATACACTGCAACCCCCAAGTATTAGAGCCTACAGAACACTAGAGAGAAAGAGAGAGAGGAAGAAGAAAAAATAGAATAAACGGGCAGACAAATCCAAACAATTCATGTCCAATATTTTTGAGTCGAGGGAAAAAAAGGGGAACCTAGAATTTACATGGGAGGAGGAGGGGCGACACCTTCGCCAATGAGGAAATGGACCTGGTCGCCTTCTGCCAGTGTTAGTCTGACAGGCAAGCGGGGGTCGATGTGAATGGGTTCGCTACGACCAATGAAGAATGCGCCGCGAGTGAAATTCCTCGTGATGGCTGCTGCTTCTTCATCGGTGAGATTACGAGGACGTTTGTTGGGACGAAAGGCGGAGGCCGTGGTGTTGGTCGGAGTAGGGGTGGTGGGGGCAGCGGCGGGAGGGAAAGGCTGGTTATAGTCGTAGTAATTTGGGTGACCTAATGAATGCATTGGGGGAGGTGGGTATGGGATAGGAGGTGGTGCAAATGGTACTGGTGCTGCGAGAGAAAACAACATCAGTGTGAGAATAAACGTGGCCGAACGAAGAAGAACATACGCGCGGATGGAGTTTGGCTGTTATTTTCAGCATCAGGGTCTGGGTACGCACAAGTTTGAGCAATTCCGCGTTTTATGCAGCTCTGTGCAATATTAACGGCAAGATGTGAGGTAGCGGCGGTGGAGGAGCAAACACACCACTTGCCTGACATGGCAGCTGCTCTGAGCAACGAGTCTTGCCCGCGTGACAGGCGGCACAGGCCCTCCGGACTGAAGGAGCCTTGGCTGTTATCCGGGCTGGGTTAGAAGGAGTTGTCGGGGTGTCGGAGGAGCGCGTAGGGAAGACTCACGCTTGCGGCCGGACTCTGATACCTGGCCGTCGCCGTTGTGAAGCTGCTGGTGCTGGAGACCGTCTGCAAGCTGCTGCTGCTGAATCTGCAGCTGGTGGTCCTGCGGTTGCGGCTGGAGGTCGTCCTGAACCGGGGTGCCTAGAGCCGACATGGAGGGAATACACGGAGGTGGGCGGGCTGGTCCGACCAACGGCGAGCATCCACGGCCTCTCCATTGTTGTTCCTTGTTTGGCCGCCCTACCCCAGCGGCCGGTCACTCGGCCCTCCCATCCGTACACCGGCAATCCGGGGTAAGCTAGTGGGCCGGCCCCGATCTCTGTCTCTCCAAAGAGTTCCCCTTGGCAGACTCAGGCAGAACGGCCGCGGACAGTGCCAGACAACCTGGTCACCAGATCAACTAGCCTCTGTCCACCTTCCTTTGCTACCACCACCATCGTCCCTCTCGCTCTCCCTGCCGCCATACATGTCGCTTGCAGCACCCCTCGAACCACTCCCAATGCTCCCCCCAGGCCCTTTTGACGACTTTGCGGGGTTTGACCCGTCCATGAACCACCTCTTCCCCAGCCCCCCTCCATTGCCATCGTCTGCAGACCTCTTCTCCGCCTCAGAAACAACAGACCTTCTCGGCTTTCTGGACAACTTTAGCTGGGACGTCGAGTCTGAAGTGCAGACTTCATTCAGCATACAACCAAATGGACAGCAGCCGCTACCAGCTGAGCCTGCTCCTCCAGCCCCAATGACACTACAGACTGCACTCGCCCGTTCATTTCCTCAGCAGGAAAGCAAGGTATCCGACGCGAACGTGGCTTCCTCTTCTCAACCAGAGGGCGGACGTCCAATACGCACACAAAGGCGGGCTTCGAATGCATCTTCCGCATCTACGCAGGCATCCAACGAAGGGTCATCTGCGCGCCCAAAACCATTGCTTTCCACGCCACAAAAACGGCTCAACCACATCATGTCCGAGCAAAAACGTCGCAATGCCATACGCGACGGATACGTGCAGCTTACCACCCTACTTTCCCCAGCAGGCGCTCCCCCAGGGGCTGGCATGCCAACTCGTGGCCGCCCCAAAGGAAGTGGGACGCGGGGAAATGGACGCGGCCGGGGGACAGCGGGGTTCAAAGGAAAGAGCGGGATCCTGTTTCGAGCTGTGGAATACATTCACTGGCTGGAGGAAGGTCAAAATGCTCTTGAGGAGGAGGTGCGAAAGGTGGAGACCGCTGCCGGTGCTGCCCCATCATGACAGTTTCTGTCTTTGCGAGTACGTCTGTCCCGGATCGTCCGTTGTATTTCCGTAATGCTGACGCTGCTGTTGCCCAGAAATTTGACACATGAGCTCCTTTGCGCCCTGCGACGAGGAACCTCTTGTGCTCTAGTCCCCTTGAATACCTCGCAGTGCTGTGATCATCCTCGTTATCCTTTTGTCCGTGCATCTTTCCGCAACCTGTGTAATTTATTTGCAGTGTCCTATCCCCGTCTCTCTGTTCTTCATTTGTATACTACACAGCCAGTCACTGCAACAATAGTGTTCAATTACGCCCAGCACCATTCGCTGTGGCAAAATTATTGCCAGACAATTTTAGATCGACAAAAGTTTGGTTTTTCCTGTGTGTTAGCACGGAGTTACCCCACGGGGAAGTTCTGGGCGCAACACCTGGCACAACGTGTAATTCTCAATTTGACGAGGGACGGTTCCTTTGTGAAGCTGATTTTGACTGGCTTGCCGGTGCTTACCGGTACTTACCCGAGGTTCGGTTCGGCTCCGACCATGCCTCCTCTACCGCGACCACCACCTTGCGATCCGAACGCGGATTGGCCTATACCCAAGCTCACCATTCGCTGCGATGACCTCGCCCATCCTGGTGCACAATTGTTCTTTCAACATATAAATCCGTGCGAGGCCTTGAGAGAGGCTGTTCTTGCGGTGTATTGCTGGCTGTATACACCACAGACAGTGCCTAGAAAGTGCGTTATTACATCAACTTCAGGGAAACGGTATTAACGGCCGCTTGATATTAGTGTAGAGAAGATCCTTCTCGTTCTCAGACCCATGGACGGTGTCGCGCACACTTTTGGTTCAGACATCTACAAGGAAATACACTTCTCGCTCGATCATATCAGGAACTCGAGTGCGCGAGCCAAGGATGAGATCCACGGCGTGATTGTGCATGAGATGGTGCACTGTTTCCAGCATGATGGGGCCAAGCATGGTGGACATTGTCCAGGAGGGTTGGTCGAAGGAGTCGCAGGTAGGTCATCGCCATGATGTATGATAGGTTTACATCTTAATGACTATTTATCGTGCAGATTGGGTACGCCTTCGCGCGGGTTACGCTCCGCCACATTGGAGAGAAGGTTATGGAGGGACATGGGACGCTGGGTACGAGGCCACTGGATACTTCCTCGACTGGCTCGAGGAGCGATACGGATACGGCGTTGTGAAGGAGCTCAATGATATTCTCGGGAAACGTGCGTATGGAGAGGAAGTCTTCAGGGATCTGACTGGACGGAAGGTCAAGAAGTTATGGAAGTTGTATAGAGACTACGTAGATGAAGGCAGCCCGTCTGGAAGCGGTGGGCCTGCCCTACCGACGGAAGGCGTCTCCCGATTATCCTTGGATTATTAGTTGACATCCTGGAGACATATTTGGCCATGCACAGTGTTTATATAACAAGATGTTGAAATTTCCACAATGAACACAAACGCGACCATAATCAAGAAAACTAGTCAAATTAACGAGCGAATGACATGGTATCTAAGGCATTAGCAATTGCATGTAGCCTACGAGCGATACCGTCTTTGCTAAAATCTGGCATGACACTGAGACCGGCATCACGCCAATCTGTGGGAGTAGGTGCTTGGGGTGTCCCAATATCTTCACGTATGCAGCCATACTCGAGGTATATGGGTAATACCCTGCTCTATCTTGGTCAATGACCCAGAGCTTACCCCTTTCGTCAAGTATGAGGTTGCGAGGAGAGATATCTTGATGTATAAATACTAGGGGATGAACAGTATCGAAGCGTTCGACAACATGGTCCGAGTGAGAGTACTTTAACATACGATTCAAGCATCCTACCATGTCTTCGTACATTTGGAACGGGTCTTTCTAGTGGAATGTAAACCAGGGGCCTCCGAAGCGCGAGCCGTCTACTGGTCCAGGAACGGAACCTCGGAGACTTCGCAGCTAGGCAAAATAGTCCTTCAGTTAGAAAAGTACAACGGATCGTACCTGAGCTATTAAAGTTCCCCATCGGCCCAGCGAAATAGAACCGTGGATCGGGTCAGTGACGATATATACGACGTCGCCATATCGGAATGACATATGGATATCCGATATTGGGATTGATGCAGATGTATGGCTACGGGCGCATAATGCGTTGTGCACTTCAGTGATGCGCACGCCGAGACTATACTTGACGAGAAGCCCTTCGCCGATGTTGGTGACGCTTGTTCCTAGATTGTCGAGTGCCTTCCCTTTGGTGATCCGC